TTTTTTTTTTTTTTTTGGAATTTTTTTCATTAGGTTGAAGGGCAACAATGCAGCGGCAAGAAAAAAAACTAAGAAGGCTGCAACGGATCCAAACAAGTCAAAGAGGCCTGCCAATGCGTTCTTTGTCTTCATGTATGAGTGGTTCATGTTGTAATGGCGATCACATAATGGAATTACATATGGCTAGAAAACTCATCGAAATTGTTCATGGATTTAGAATTCCATGGAGAAATTTCTACAATAATGCGGCTACCAAAGCGTATAGCACGAATAGTAGCCAACCTTCCACTGTAATATTATTTCACCTTTTATGCACTTCTTGTTCTTAATTCATTATTTTCCATTTTTTTTATTTTACTTAAATTGTTTTTGAGGACTCATAATCTTGTGAAGAGTTGTTGATTTGGTTGATTTGTTCTAACATTGCAAGAGACTAGTGATCAACAATATGACATTGCAATCATTGGAGGAAGCATGGTTGGCATGGCTTTTACTTGTTCCTTGGTTGTGTAACAATTTTAATACTGCAAATTCTTTGTGTTTTATTTAATAATAGGAAAACTAAAACCGATTCCCGATTATGCTTCATATTCCAATGGTGAATTTCCTATTTTTTGGTGATTTCAACTTTCTTTGTTTTACTTGATGAAAATAGGGGAGGACTTCCAGAAACAGTACAAAGAAGACCATCTTGACAATAAAATCTGGAAAATAATACAATTTTCTTTTCATTATACAAAAAGTTGACAAATGGTATCTGCCAATATAGAAAAAATAAGTGGAGGAGAAAATTATAAATAAAATAAAATAAAATTATCAATTGTAAAAAAAAAAAAAAGATCTATATTGATGGAAAAAGCTGTCGATATAGATCCATGGCCTATAGGTGTATATAGACGAAAGTTTGAATTTTTATCCATGGAATTATCTGTTTGTAAATATAAGGAGCTCCACAAATGGAAACATTCTTAAGATTTCTCAGGATCTATACCAACGGACAAGTCTTTCATTGGAATAGATTCTAATGGTATATACCATCGGACAAAGTCTTCAATTGGAATAGATCCAAGGGTCTATACAAAAGGATTTGGCGTTGGTATATACCATATACTGATAAGGTTTCTATCGACTGAAAGCTATTCCGTCGGAATAGTCCTTGGGGGTTTATACCAATGAAAAAAAGGGTATATACAGACAGAAAACTTCATCACTATAGATACATCAGCTTGTAGTGTTACTTCCTCCATTTAATTTTAGTAAGTCTAATTTTTTTATCCAATAAAATAAAGTTGTAATAATTAATTGATAAAATTTCATATTTATCCCTATTGGGGTGTGCTAGTGATGCAGAATGATGAGTCAGAAATGGAGATAATATGGAGGATGACTAGGATGCCACCTGTGAAAAATAAGGGAGCCTTTTGACGGCACTCATTTCACGTGTAAGAGGTTATGTGGCATGGGTTATCTCGTTCTGCCTAGTGATGATGGTTAATAGCAAATTCTCCAATAAAGTTTGAAAGTATAAATTTTCCAACCAAGCCGAGACGAAAAGAACTGGGCAAAAAAAATGGGATTCTAAGGGTCGGGAATGATTACACAACTACCAAAATGCATACAAAGAAGATGTACATTATGATAGGCGTATCAAGGATGGTGAGTATACGAAGATCAAAGATTATAACTTGAGAGGCACACTTATACATAAAATATTGTTACATAATGATAATGACAATAAATGTGTCCTCTATTATCCCCAGCAAGCACTCTATTATGAACAACCCTCATGATGCAAATGAAAAATACAAAAATCCCTCCTTTGAAGCTTTCTCAAGAACAAAAAGAATAAACTTGAAAATAATGATGGGAGAAGGAAGGATGACTACTTTGGGGGCTTGTGAGCAAAGGGCTTGATCTTGTTTTTGATGCTAACCTTACAGCTTGATCCACTGATACTCAAGAAACACTACCCAAAAGCTAAAACTGAAGCATGCTGCTTCCCAACCATGATGTTCTACAAGTCTGAAAAATATTCTACAGTGTTGGAAGTGCAGAAAATGTGAAGATAATGGTGATTTTTGGGTGATTTCGGTGTGTTGAGTGAATGGTTGAGGGCGACATATTTTTCAAAGGAAGAAAGGAGGTCTAGTGTGTGAGAGGTAAGTTGAAGTTGTGTAAAAATGTGTTTTCTTTTGTTTAAAAAAGAAGGAAAAATAATATATACATATATAGGAAAAAGTGTCTGTCAGCCTTACCTCCTAAAGATTAAGAGGAAAATCATCCTAAAACTATGTCGTTTCAATAAATTTTTATTGAAAAAGACTAAACTACCATATTTTTAAAGCATGTATTAAGATGATTTTTGTCATTTTTCCTCCTAATTTTTTGAAGGTAAGGCGGACAAGCACTAACCCCATATATATATATATATATATGTGCAATGGCATTTTGTAATTTTTGGGTTGATGGGTCAGAGCAACCTAGCAACCTATCGGGTAGATGTGGGTGAGCTATCAAGTTTTGAGTGGCTTTGGGCATTGCTGATAGCTTTTGGCAATGATATTATAAATTACTCAGTGGTTCTAGCAAAGCTCCACTGGCTCCAACAAAGCTTCGCTGGCTCTAGCGAAGCGATTGGGAATTACCCATTTCTAGTAACTCTTCCAACCATACAAAATTCCATTTTTAGGAAGGTACTTGAGTGTAGTCAGCAAAAATAAAACCTGTATAGGATTTTGATCGATTTCCCATATAAATTGTGAGCTTTTTTAACAACTTCCAATGTGGTGGAACTTGTGCAGCCACCTTTGCATTAAATACAGTTGCAAGTTGCTTATGGTGACCAAAACAGCATCTCTGACTAGTTTTTAATGGGATTTTTAGCTCTTAGTTAGTATTAAATAGTATAGTTTTGGGGATCAGCTCCTTTGCCATGTCTTCGCTACCCAGCCCTTTTTGATGAAGTTAAGCAATTTCGCCAACTCCAAGCTTGGCTAACATGAATGCCTCACTTCTCCAGATGGGCAACGTTCATCCATCCATGCCTGCCAAGCCACTTCTCCCATAGTTTATCCCGAATAATTCCCATGAGTTTGGATTCATAAGCTTGTGTTCAGATTCATGAGCTTGTGTTCATCTAAAATGAAAGCAAGATATAAATGAGTATAGATTCAAATATTTAAGTGTAAAATGTATGAATATATGCAATGAAGAAGGGTACTTTCTTGTGTATTAAAGAGGGCAATGAGGCTGAACATTTCTACACCCCTTTGTCCACTGGCCATGGCGAGCATTTCTATGATGCTGCTATTTATGGCTGGCATTGTACCAAGACAAGGAATGAGTAATATGGGTGTGTGTTGTGTTATCATTGTCCTGAGCCAAGCATCACTAGTTGGTGATACCTACTAACATGCAATATAGAAAAAATATGTTATGAGTCAAGATTACTAGTGATCTATAATCTTGTCCCTTTATGTAAAAGAAAAATGATGTGCATGATCGCCAACCATGTAAGTATTATAGGGTCAACCATGAATAGCTTCCATATAGTTAGAGGGGCAACAGTGGCTAGCTTTGCCCATGATTGGAACGTGAACTATGTGAAATTGGAAGAGCACTCCTACTAATCTGCCAAGTTGTGCAGGGGTAAATCTCATTAAGCCAAACTTTGCCACAATGATGAATATGTGATAAAGGTAGGTAGAGTTGTCTCCATGGAAGGGGGACACCAACCATATCTATGGACTTCGATACGACAAGGTGTGATACCACTAATAAACGTTGGCCTTTCTTGCCATACTCGCACTGTTAGAAGGTGGTCCTGGTCATTGTTGCCTGTCAGGCATCGCACCACTATGCATGGACAACCACCATAGGATCCCTGGCCATTACTTGAAGGATTGTTATCATTGGAGGGTAGCCACCCCATCCAATTATAGGGTTGCAACTATTACTGGCCTCACACTAATTGTACCAAGTTGCGTTAACTTTTTGTCCATTTTCAAGAGTCAGTGAGATAGAGTATGTAGAGATGTGTAGCCTTTTGCCTATTATTAAAGGCCAAATGAGATAGAAAATTTGGCCCTTTGTCCATCATGAAGAGCTATGTAGATGTAATAGGATTAGCCTGTTGTCCATTGATGGGAACCAGTGATAGAGATATGTAGAAATATATGCTTAGCCCATTATCCATCGCTTGGAGCTATACAGATCAACTCATTGTCCTTTGATGGGAGCCATGTAGCAAAATAGGCTCTTTATCCATTCTTGGGAGCCAAAGATGTAGCATTGAACATCGTTGTAGAGGACACGATTGTCGAAAACGCCCATGTCATAGAGATAGGTATAGCCATGTCCGGTTATGTATATAGAAATAGATGTTAGAGAGGGTTGTATCTACAATACTTCCCACGAAGTTGATGACTGTCGCCCTTGGCAATGTTGACTCCATTGCAATAATTAGTAGAAAATAGAAACAACATGTATGATGTGGAAAATATATCATGTGGCCCCTTGCTGATGTAGAGTTACACACGTTGTCAATTTTAAAGTGATACAAATTCATCCCTCAACAATCCCTAATTATAATAAATAATTAAATGAGTCCATGTGATTTGTTTGGATTTAATTGAAGTTTTTTTGGTACTAACCTCCTAATTTTCGAATGTTACATTAGATCCTGATTAATCTGGAATCGAGCTGTGTCGAATCCCATAAGAGAGAATGCTCTCCCAACGCCTATTTCTCTATACACAAGACTCAAACCTAAGATCTTACTTAAGGGAGCAGAGTTCCTTTCACTTGGACCAATAGGTCGTTGGTGATTTAATTGAAATTTAGATTAGGGTTTCTCAAGACATGGATCTCTAAAGTGAATGAACACTTTTTGATTTGGGGCCTTAGAGTATTAGATTTGCAATTTTAGAATCTTTGTATTTGACTATATTTTTAGAATCAAAGTCGAAGAGGATACATAAGTTAAGTAGAACAAGATTTGAGGTATGTTTGGAAACAAGAATACACAAAAGCAGTATGATTGGCAACAAATTTAAGAGTTTTCAAGTCTAATTTTAAATTGTCATGTATTAATTTTTTTGACAATGATTAATACATAAATTAATTCAACACATTTGATAGCATACTTATTAAGAAATTATTATTTTCAAATTTGAATTAAGAACAGAAAAACTTATAAATGTAGATTTTAATGGCTGAATGAGTATGTGTTGAAAGATATGTTGAATCAGAACATGTATTAATCATTTTGCTAATTTTTTTAATGGGTGGCTACTAGATTGTGAGAAATTGAGGTGTGCACCAATTAGGGTTTAAACAAAAATATCTAATGATAGAAAGAGAAAAATTAAATGAAAATATGTATAGTGATAGAGGAAAATGTAAGGAGTGACTAAAAATGTATAACAAAAAGGGGTGAATAAAGAGAGAAAGAATAATAAATAAATAAAAATTTATTATTAAGAGAGAAAGTATAGGTATGCAAATATAATAAGAAAATGTAAGAAAATAAGTTAAGAGATATCGTCACAAGAAATATTAATGAGAGATGGGGTAATGATGTGAAAGCTAATATATATTAATGGAAGAATGATAAAAATTTATGCCTTCTATGTTTTAACTAAAAAACATGTCTAATATAAATAAATGGAGAAAGGGAATTGAAATAAAAAATAAATATAATGATTCAAGGGGTGCAAGAAGTGAATAAAGAAGAATAATATATGGAAATGATAAGGGAAGAAAAAAATAGTAACAAACAAATTATTAATATAGGGAGAGAAATTAAATGAGAATGAATATAAGTAAATAAATAAATATAATAATAAAATATTTGAGGAAGTGAGAGTAAACTGAAAGATAGTAATGTCTTAAGAAAAATTAAGGAAAGATAAAGTAGTGTTTTTTTTTTTTTTTTTTA